ATGGAAACAGGCTTGCTTACTTCTTTGTCATTATTAAAACATGGGATATCAGCCATGACTAGAGGGAGAACAGTATGGGGCCACTACTTGCATAATTTAAGGCAGCTCATGCTCACAGGTGTGCATTAAACAATGGAGTGAAAATACTCAGACCTCTGTCAGTCTTCACAGAACCACAGAACTCCCACCACAATATCTGCCTTACTGGCCTTCCCCGTGATTCTGACCCATATACACTCAATCCTGTCATCACCACCATTAAACAATACACAGTTGTATCCCTCCCTAACATAGAGGGCCAGCCCACTGCCTTGCCTTCCTCTCCTGTCCCTTCTGAAGAGTTGGTAGCCACCAGCTGCGGTACTCCAGTCCCAAGAGTCATCCCACCATGCTTCTGTGATGGCAATCTTCACATTTCTAAAGACATGTTCTTTCAAAAGAAGATCACATGAACCCTGGAGGATGGTGAGGTACAATCACTTGATGTATCATATGCAGTCATTCATTTAGCTTCCAAGAGCCGACCTTTGGCAGTCATGCAGTCCTGCTGTCTCTTCGAGATGTCTGGATTGTTCCCTGAAATACACTTTCCCATGTTCTGCTTAGTGCAGATCAGCTTCACAAAAACAGTCTTCCTCAGCCATTGATTGTTGCCTTACTCTGTATGTGATGCCAGATCTAATTCTCAATAGAAGCAGCATTAGTCACTCACTCCCTTCAGCTAAAAAGTATTTGATACTTAGGTGACATTAGCTGTTTTTTAACTGCCCTCCACTGATCATACATTTCAAATGTGAAGACTGGATTCAGACGTCTACTGAAACAGCTAATTTGAAATAAAATTGCATCCCCACTCTTTTCTAATGTCCCTTGACCATAAAGACTGAGTTTTATTTGACATTTTGATCTTAATTTTGATTTATTAGGTGTGGGATGGTTAGATGCTTTTTATATCCATTAAATCTTAATGGCTACATTTTGCCTTTTTCTACTGAAAGAGTTCATGGAAATAAATGCAGTTAATGGACTCTGCTATTAAGTACATGTTGCTGGGAGATATAATAATGATACTTCAGAGCCTCTCCCACAATTTGCTATTAATATGAAGGAAATGCAAATTTCACAATCACATTGAAGTAATTTTTGCTAGTCAAACAATTAACATTTAGTTTCAAGGTGGGAATTGTACTTAAAATTATCATCTCATGAATATCATGGAACATGATTATTTGTAATACTGCAGTCATTACTGATAAGGCACAAAGGCTTTGAAATACAGCCTATTACGTTTTACTGTAACATTGAGTACACACAAAAATGGACTTGAACCAATAAAATTAGAACATTTTTTCTAAAAATTATATACTGAATAACTCCTTTTTTTTGCTAAAATGTCTTTTACTAGTTGAAAACCAAATTTGAAGTGTATTTTACAGAATCGTAGAACTTCGGTATAAGGAAAAAACCAGTTGCTGACCATATTCTTTCCTATTTAACTTAATAAATAAACATATGGTTTCATGAACTGTAACTCAAAGTATACTTTAAACCAGAAAAGTTTACTTCATTTCTTCTTACACATTTATAGAGTTCAAAATAAGAAAAAGTCTACTCTCACTACATTTTACAAGCTACTCCATCTCTAAGTTTGGTCTTGTAGCATGTCAGATAACTTTTGCTTGGCTAAAGGTTATAATTCATAAAGGCATATAATCTTCAGCTGATGACAAGAAGCGATGGAGAATTAACAACTTTTCAGAATAATTTGTTCCCATTGCTTTACTGTCTTTGCTGCTAAAAATTGCACTTATTTTCTCATTTTCCAGCTGTTGCTTCTTTGCGTTTGTTCTCTACTAGTCAAACACCAAATTCAATTATCTGAGTTTTTAATTCTTGAGAATGTAATTGGTTTTGAGTCTGTCTCCTCTCCTTAAAAAAAGGAGGAGAAAGAAAGGAAAATATCTGCTTTCCTGGAAAAAAAAAAAATAACAAAAACAATACTAGGATCATTTAATAGAAAAAATGCAGAAAAGTTTCCACCAGGAATTTCATGTGCTCACATTTAGAAGCCCACATTATATCATTACATCATTACATAATTCTGACAAGTTTTCCACTTATTGTAACAAATGATTTACTAAGAGCACCCTGAAATGTTGTGGGAAAACAAAACAAAACAAAACAGTGTAGGTATTATCAATCTTTAAGTCCTTTATGAACCTCAAGTAATGAAAGTACTAGCAATTTAAGGAAGCACTAGAGTTGCATTTTCAAAAGCACCAAAGTGCAAATCTCACTCATATGAAATGTGACTACTATCTACGCATTAATGTTGCAATGAAAATTTTAAATAAATATTACAGTTCCCATTTTGCAGACGCAGAACTGAGCTGAAACACTATCACAGATTTACAAATGAATGACTCAAGCTCAGCCCATAGGGCAAAAAAAATAGTTTCTCGATCCCATATACTGCTCATCCCACTAGACCACACAACCTTCAGAATAAACAAAGACATTAAGGTTTTTTTCTTTATGCAGATTAATGACAGATCTACTCTGTATTTGCTGTAGTTACAAAAGAACTATAGAATTACATGTCTTTTCCCTGTTAGGAGGGAAAAGGACAGATTGTAATGCCCAAAGTAGAAGCAAGCCCTAACAAATGTCTAGTTCAGTACTTTTGAAGTTTAGATGTAACTTTGATTTTTTTTCCTTTTAAAAAAAACAAAGATAAGCACATGTAATTTACAAGGAATAGACGGCAGTTAAATCCCAGGTTTGAATTGTTCAAATCCCTTGCTCATTTATGCATTGCTTAGAAAAACAGAGTATTTCTCATAGAATGAAGTATCTCCTCACAGGATGTGTGGAAGACTGTGTGAAAAAAACTAAGTTTTATTCAGATTTGTGATGCTTTTCTGCTGATCACAAAATGATCATAGTGTATGCATTATTGAATTTCATTTTTCTTTAATTAACTTAGCCAGGATGTGAGAACTTGCTGAGCATCCTGCTTACAGAAGTCCTTGTTATACAGTACATTTTCTGTTGCTCTGCTTTACATTTCTGTCTCTGGTAATCACTATCATGTAGGTTCCTGGCACAGCCATGGGTTATAAATTAGACTTCTAAACAAACAGTCCACAAAAAAAAGATCTTAATTTAAAAAACAAACAAACAAACAAAAACACCAACAAATCAAAACAAAGAAAAATATGCTGGTTTTCCCTTACCATGTTGAATACAGCCATAGTTAATATTATAGCGGTGGTTGTTAATGTAAGAGTGATTCGTGGCCAAGGACGGTTTGCAATTATTCCAGATGATTTCAAGATCCACAACAATGAAACTGATGCTTTCTTGCTACATTGCTAAGTGCAAAGAGTTTAAAAAAAAGAAAACAAAAATCACTTCAGTATATATAATTACCAAAAAGAAGAACAGAATTAAAAAGGCTTAAGATTGATGACAGCATTAATCTTGAAACATTGTACAGAAGCATTCAACTATTGCATTCTAATAAGTTACAGATCATGATTACACATGAAACCAAATACAAATTTAGTTAAAATATCTGCCATAATATAAATTCATAATCATAATTTGCATGCACCTTGTAAAATATTCAACATTTATCACTAATAATAGCAAATACAGAGTTGACAGTGGTGTAATTACCTCTAATATAAGTACAAACAGGGCAAATAAACTGACCTACCTCACCCCAATTGAAAGAGCAGTATTTAGTAGAAACTTCAAAATGTAAATAATGACTGCACAGTATTTGACAGAGACAGGGATCCCCTCATGCAGGATAAAGGCTGTATACTTAGATATATCCCTGTCAGTCTACAAAATAGCAGAGTTTCTGGGTTTTTCTTTCATTTGTTTGAAGACTCATTTGATAATTCAGTTTAAGTGAAAGGTAACTCAGCAAAGCAAATCAACCTTCCCTAAAACTGTCCAGAAAACAAATAAGCATTTCACACAACATTCAATTTGACACAAAGAGTATTTAATGAATATATATTTTTTCTTATACAGTGACAAAAATTAACAATAAAACCCTCTGACTCATTGAACCTGCTTCCAAGAACAAACACACTGCAATAGCCTCCATTCATACATGCATTGTGCCTAGAGGCACAAGATGTTCGCACAGAATAAACAACAATCTGTGGCACATCCAATAAATATTAAGTTTAGCAAAAGTTTAGCAATGAGGAAATACAATTGCCTAGAAGCATCTTGTGCCCTTTCCAAATGTCAAATTCAACTATTGTGAAACCTCCATAGAAAAGGTAATGAAAAGTTAAGGAACATGACTGTCCCACAAAAGTAGTCACTTTTATCAACCCATTTTCTCTATTTACTTTATATTATCAGAGAATACTTTACATATTTTTTTCCTCCCAACCACAGCAAACAGCAGAGTTATAAGCACAGGAAGTCTCTGAAAAGAGAACTCAAGCACAAAAACCTACCAAATATAGGACTTAATTTACATCTCTTATATATATAAGTTCAGGTTCAAGAGCTACAGCACATCATGCTATATTACACTATTACCCAACACATGTGAGGTAGTTTACATTAAGGTCTTTGTCCTATGCACAGAATTAGTTCCCTCCTAATTATACACTATTTGGACAAGTCCACCATGTACTTAGAATTTTGTTTATACATTGGGTTTATGGCAGGGAGTTTTGCATACTGGATCGGACAGACTCTGAGTGAATGAAGCCAGCTTCAGGAATAAAAGTTTTGTCATCCTTGCCACTTAATAAAGAAAAAACCACAAAGCCTAGATTGTTGCCGTTGCTACAGAAAGGGAATGTTCAGTGGGATGCAGCGAATGGATCTGTGAGAAAATGAATCATTCAGTTATCCGTCTAGTCTGCCTAAAACCTGATGAGTCAGGGAGCATGGATTTATGGCAAATTAAACCAGTCATAAAACAGTGCCTTAAATTACTCTTAGCCTTTGTTGTAGCATACCTGGACAACTTCACCTATATTGTTCTGTGATTCTCTTGGAAGTTTAGAAGTAACTGGAATATCATAAATTGGAATACGGACAAAACTAGGTGGGAAAAAGTATGAGAAAGTATGAGGAATATAAAGTGGATAAGTATTGCTATAAGTGAAGCAGTACATTGTGCTCTCCTTTCTGAATTATGTTGCAGAGAACTATACTGTTCAAAGAAATTTTCTAGGATAAGAAATTCCAAGAAAAGATGCTAATGATGAACATAAATGATCTGGCCTAACCCAGAAACATTTTATTATGAATTTTACTGATTCTAGGTTATCTGACTAAAGGTTTGGAATAAGTAATTAACACTCTTAGCTATAGTCAAGCCTCATGCTTACTGCTTGTTCCCCACATATGTCAGTTAGGTCACATACTGATGTAGAGTGTGTGATAAACAACTACTCACTTACGCACTAAGCCCCATAAATTGGGCTAGAGGCAAGATAAACTGCTTGTGTATTGTCAGAATCCTTGCAAACTCTGATTAATGCTGAACTGGCAGACAGGAAGGACTGAAACTTCTGAAACTTCTTGATAAGATGGGCGCCTTTCAAGGTTGACGGGAGCCATTTGGTTACAACAGCCTGTTCTCAGAACAAAGGTAAAGAGATCAACCCTGAGGAAGACTCGGAGCCTTCATTCTGAAGACCCTGGCCCACGACCACCAGGAAGCCATGCGCAGGTGCGAGTAGGTGGACACTTATGATAATGAGTGTCTGGAAATAATTATAATGTTCCCACCTATTCTTGTGAAACCTAATGAATACGCACGATTTTACCTCATTGTCTGTTCCATCCGGGTGCAAGCTTGGAGGAGCGATCCCCCTTGCACCTGGTGCCGTAACCCATAATAAACATACCTGCCTTATAGCCCTCCCAGAGTTATAAAGTTTGTTTCTGCACATCAGTTTCATCAAATCAAACATAAACACCTGAAGATGATCAAAAGGACTGTGATAGATGGTGGAACCAAAGTAACCTAATCAGTGAAGAACAGAAGTCACTGAATCTGCTGCTCGTAAGACCATCAAAGGAGAATGTTTCAGCACTCATAGTTTGTGATGGGAAACCTATGAAGAAGCCTCAGTGAAAGAAACTCCCATTCCAGGACGACCTGCAGACTAAGGGCAACTTCTGCCTAAAAGGATGTGCCGGCATGGGGCAGATAATTTTGCAATGGTGCAGAATGAAAGTTGAGGAAACTTGGGATTGTGTAAAAGACTACAGTAGGTTTTAAAGTCATTGTGAGTATCTGGAAAACTTACAGGATATTTAGAGGACAGGACAGGGAAGGACAAATGTGGATCAGGGAAGAACAAACATAGATAAATGGAGAAGACAGGGGATGAAAGGAAATGGCTACATGTAAACACTTGTCTAAATGAGCCTATCACATATTCATATTAAGTCCTATCTCTAACCATCTTCTGTGTAAAGTGCAGTCTTCATTTTGAGCCTGTGTGTGTGCAAATGCTAGCAAACATCACAGTGGACTAGACGGAAAGTAACACAGGATGACTGCCAGCCACCAGAGAAAGAGAGATCACATGCGTATCTGAGGCAACTGAGGGCCTGGGTGCCAGCAACTGAAGTGTCTCAGCCCAGACCCTGAAGACACCCATAGGGTGTTGGGGAGAGTGTATGTGTGACTATTAGGAAACTTCAAGGTGGACTTGCTGGTAAGCAGGAGATCTGCATTTGGAGAGATCCAAGGCTGGAGCCAGTCACTGCACAAGGGAGGCATAGGCTCGACATGGATATATTGCATTGATTTAAAATCTATACAGTGACCCACAAATGTGAGTGTGCCTATGGATGGGAGTCAGGGTGTGGATATACTCCACAAGCAAACTTCAGTCCTGATCATCCAGAAAGGAGAAACTAGACCATCCATGTTCATTTATGTGACTGCTGCATGTTGTTGTGTGGGTGCTGTAAGAGACTTGCTGACTCCATGGACCTGTGTGGTTGGTCCTGTGTGTATGTTATGTGTTTGTGTGGGAATATGTGTTCAGCCTCACTACTGGTTGTAGCTGGGACATGATACTGACAGCCTCCCATCAATGACTGTGAGACAGGAGGCTACCCATGGTCTTTAATTCCACCAAACTGGGTGTTAGTGCACCAGGAAGGAGCACTCACCTGGCTCCTGAACTCCACTGGATCCAACAAACTCTACCAGCTCTTATTTTCAGTTTCAGAACCTTAAAAAACATTGCTCATTAAGATGCAAAACAATGTCATAAAAATATTTTCATGTTTTCCTAGTGCTAAGCAATGTAATTGACAGTTTCCTCTGCATAAATGAACAACATGTGTTATGTTAATTCTGAAGACAAAACTAAATTTTCCGTTTTGTAGATTTTCAGAGATTTAAAATCTCTGTTTAATCTCAATATCTAGATGCACAAATGTTGGTGTCAAATGATGAAGATTTCTCAGACTTTTCTAGCTTAAAATCACCGTTTCCAATTATTGAATTTGACCTTAAGTTTTGTAAGTAATCATTGAAAAAAACTACAGTACAGAATTGCTGAGATTACTTAGCAATATCCATACTGAGAACTGTATTTGTTCCTGAGGACTGCTTTATTGCTTTTCAAGTACCTGTACACTTTTGAGCAGACTTATGTAACTTCTGTACCAAAATTGCTTGCAATAATTCTAAATTTCTTTCAAAAGATTTTGGATCAGTATCACACGAGTTTGCTAATATATTTTAGCTAGGAAGGACTCACTGGAATGACTTTCTAAATTTCTTTTGAAGACTATTTGGTTGTTTGGGCTTTTTTTTCTTAAAAAAAAAGGATTTTTATGTTCCCTTGCAACTTTATCACTAAGAAAGTTCTGGAGAATAAAATAAATATCAGCAAACAAAGTATCATTCAGCTAATGTGATTAATCAACAAATTCCATTCTTTCAGCTGCTGTTAAAATTACAGATATTCTCAGCTCTGATCAGGATACAAAAGTGTTGTCAAACTGCAACTTCAAAACCGAAGTTGTAGATAACTCTTTTCACTTGTACAAGAGAAGCATGCCAGAACACAGTGATGCATTTCTTGATAGGCTGTTTAATACACAGCTCTGAGTTCTGGGGGTGGAAGGACCGCCGCTTATTTGGTGTATTTGTCATGCCACCTGGTATGTTAAATAAATGACAGGTCCCTCTAATAGCCATGAGAGCAGCCTACATAAGTTAAACCAATGGGACTTCTGTAAAGAAAATTTGTGACAAAATCCTGATTCACACTAAAAATCTTTAAGCCGTTAAGTAGAAATTCCTTAGAAAATACAAAAGAATACACTGTTGATTAGTAATTCTCTATGTGAATTAACAGATGAGCTGAACTTCATTTCACATTTGAGTAGTCTAAATCCAGTCCAGATATAGTACAACTACATCAGTTCAGTACTGCTGAAAATTTAGGTAGGTCCTGGAAGCAGAAGAGTAGTGGGGGGGTCTTTAATTGAGACTCTTAATAGCCCTGACAGAACTATGCAGGCTTATTTTGCTGATTCATTAGCTTAAATCAAACACTTTTTCTTGTAAACTTTATGTCTCATTTGCAATTTTTTTAAAGATGAATAAGATGAAAGGACCAAAGTAATCCTTTCTAGAAAGCATGCAAGAAGGGTAATACATCAGATCTCAGTAGCATTAGCTTCTGTGTGCATTTTAAGAGGAGCTGGCAGAATATGGTTGTGTTCATCATTTACCAAGCAGAAATAATAGGTATTTGTAGTATGAAAGGTGACTAAGGTATTACCTTTTCATCTGAACATGTTAAATCTGATACAACAGCTCAGCACGATAGTGAGTAATAACTTATTTTGAATACTCAGGTAATTAAAATGTATCCTGTGTTGTCTTTCCACACACAAAAACCTACTTCAGCATTTAACAAAATGAGTGCTGTCTTTCTGAGTGAGATCAAGGAACTGGTGTGAGAATTAATTGTGACAGCTATGTAGTAGAGGAAAGAGATGATTGTCACATGAGCCGTCACACTTCTCCTTTGTATACTAGCAGAGTTGGAACATCTTGACTGAAGACCTCTTATTAACAGAATGCCCGTGAATCACCTTTTCTATAGTTCTATTATTGTTCTTTTCATTTTGCATTCAAATACAACATAATATTTTACTAATACTAATATTACAAACCCCCCCCCCCAATTCAGATTTTTTTCACGTGTTCATTTTCACTCAGACTTGAAGGAGACATTCAAAGCTCAAATCCAAAGAACTGGCTGACAGTGATTATACTGACCTAAGCTTGGAGAAGGGTGATTTTCCTGTAGAGACACAAGCTCATACCTTACATACTTTCAAATGGTTCTATTGTTGATAAAAAAGACCAAAGTATTTCTAAAATGGGTACTGTAACACCAAGCTTTTGAACTCCATGGTGGCACTTGTAAATCTCAGCCTCATCTAAGAATCATACAAAATACATCCAGGTAAAGATTCTACTCAACTAACATTGCATACAACTGATTTGACAAAAGCTAGAACCCTGAATAAAGAAATAACAGGCAGAACTAAAGCTGGTATCACATTTTGACTTTCACCATACTTTGCAGCATTTATTATACTTCTCAAAGGGTCAAATTAAAGTAGCCATACGGTTCACTTCAACTATCTCATTCAAAGGAAGGAACACAGCAGTGAGCTGTATAAATATGCCTTTAGGCTCCCAGAGTTCAGTTTTGGAACTTCCTGTGCTGCTTTCCACATTCAATGAAATGTACAGCCACTGTGTTATATGCTATTTTAAGGTAAGATGTTCTCAGTCCCTCCCATCAAAGCTTTTCTAGTCCACATGAAATATTTGAAACGCCGCTGGTTTTGAAAAAGAGCAAACCTGAATGACATTTTAAAGACAGTGCTCAGGATACTGAACTAGAGGAAGGAGTTTGAATGCTACCTTCTGCACTGACCCAGTCTTGGACTCCAAGTAAGATGCTTACTAATTAACTGTAAGGAAAATTGTTTGCATACTGGACTGTGGGTATGAGAAGCACATGTGGATATCTCTTTATGTGGAGGTAACTTACAATCTCATCTTGGGCAAAGACACTAAAAGGCAGCATTGCCACATTTAAAAAAAAAAAATTCAAGATAGTCTTACTCATCAAAAAATATCTTAAAAGTGACATTATTGGCACAACAGACATAAAAAACACAGTTTCCACTAGGCTAGGCAACTTATTCAGTTGGTCACAATGACATGACACCATAAACATGTAACTCAAGAAAGAGTAAGGAGAATAATTTTTTTACCAATATCAGTACATTTCTAACAGTTCCTAAAGTTTGAACATAGTACGTAACATAGGGATGATGGATTTACTATTGTGGTGCCTGTGCTAGACTCATCAGAATCATTTAATAATAAAAAGGGTTAGGTTGGAAGGGACCCTAGAGATCACCTAATCCAACCTCCCTGCCATGGGCAGGAACACCTCTCAGCTAGAGACTAGGTTGTTTAAGGCCTCATCCAACCTGTCTTAAAACACCATCTCTCTGAGCCTCTTTCATGGACCCTGCTGTAGGTGCCAAAGTGCCTCTCTGTGTTCTCCCCGACTTTCCCCATCCCTTAATTTACAAGCAAATCTTTGCTATTAAAGAATGTGAAGGACTCCGATCTTTCATCTGTATCTGTGTTAAGAGAGACACTTGCACCAGAGGTAAGAATCCAGGTCAAAATAATTTCCAAGTAGTGCTGGTGCTGATACTCCTGTCCTTGCAGAGCTTTTTAAGTACCTGAAGTGTATACAGTCTTTCTCACTG